GGGGACGGGGGGGGGATCCCAACCCCCAAACCCCCTCTGGCCCCCCAAACCGGATCCCCTCGGAGCATCGGATCCCGCACGGAACCAGAACGACCAGAGAGGAAACGATCCGGAAACGCGCCCGACCCCTGCGGAACCGGGGCACCCCCAGCTCGGCCGGAGACATGGAGTTGGCTGTGCAGACACGAAGAATGTAGTCAATCGTAAAGATGATGATGGAAACCTGGGGTGAGAAAACTGGGCAGACATGACTTGAACTTGAAGGGATGATGCCAACACCAGACTTTTTTAGAGCTTGACTCAGTAGAGTTCTCTGCATGTACAGTAAAGTTTATGACATGTGGACTACAAAGATTGGAGCCGCAGCACTCTTAGTGTGAGGCTCCACCAGAAGCCTTGTATGATGTGTTGCAAGGATTGTAGAGTCCAGTGGTGGATTCCTTACATCAGGATCATCCTGACTCGATGTGTTTCGGTAGTTCCTGCATCCATCACCCTAAGGGTCGCAAGCTGTGTCCATCGCCCTGGCTGTGTGGTTTTGGCTGAGGTAGGATCACTCTGACCCACTGATATTGGTAGAGGAATGGTCAAGACCAGAATGGCGTGTTCCACTTCCATGTTGAGTCGGAGGGACAAGCCGAGCCCCAACTCCTTGCCATTCGGATCTGGTCGCAGAATAGACAGAGAGGTCCAGGTTCGTGGCGCACAAAAGCCAATTGCGTGGGACTCTGCACGCATGGTCAGTTTCCTATGGGACTCGATACCGAACAGGCGCATTCTGATTTGGCCAGGTGGCAAATTCAATGTAGTAAAACCTTGGAGGCAAGCACGCTGCGTGCGCTGCGTGCGCTGCGACATGAGTAGCAACACCGGATAGTTACATAGGTGTGTGTTTTGGTCTAAGTCTATGTTCCTTCTTCCAGGAGGTCTTTGAGAAGTCTCCCTATTTTGATACTCACAGACATTTAGACCTTGTGGGTGTGCCTCTTATTCCAGGGGCCTGCCAAACCAGGTGTCTGTGTAAGCAAACGGTGCACGTAGAATCCCCCAGTATCCCTGCCAAACATTGGTGGTGACAATGGTCTGGGCAACAAAGTATATAAACACACGACATGACTGAAGGTTTTGTTGTAAAGAACACGAGCTGGACATCACGTCAAAGCTTCAAATTCAAATCAATCATAATGTTAAGCAGTCATTCAAAAAGGCGTGACTGACGCGCGCACACACACTCACTCTCTCTCTCTCTCTCTATCCCTCTCTCTCTCTGACTCTGACCATTCCAAGTCTCAGGAATGGTCAGAACACCTGGACGTTCTTCCCTTGATGCGACTCCCAAATCAAAATCGACTGTCACACAGTGTTTCAGTATCATGAATCCAAGAAGATTGCAAAATGAACGAACTATGGCGAACTGGATAAGTATAGGCTGTACTGTAGTAGGCTGTTGTCCAAATAAGTAGGCTGTTTTGGACCTCGCACACCTGAGGCGAACCGCGATCATCTTCCAGTCTGGGACGTCCGGGTGGCGCGTCCGCTGGTCTGGGACGACAGTTCTCCACGGTCAAGATTTCTTGGCCTCGGACGTCGAGGAAGATCCCGGAGTTGTTAATGTCTGTCCAGTTCGAACGGTGTCCAGTTGGAACGGCATGCTGCTTTTCATGTTTGGGGGGTTACCTTTGCCTTGATAAGCATGCTTCCTTGCCGATGGATGGCCTAAAAACTTACACTGGAAACAGAAAAAGTTTCTCAGTAGAGGAAAGCATCCCGGTTCCTTGACATTGCAACTCGAATTATCAATGCATTGATTGGGTCTATCCCATTACCAGCAACAGTGGATGATGGTTTATAGAGGCCTTTCTCTAAAATTGTGATTTGAAGTGAAATACTTGTTTACCGCCTGTTACAGGTAATTTTGAACAGACGCAAACCATGCATATCCATGTTGATACGCTGTGCTTGGACTTCTTAAACAGAACGAAACGATGGCCGATCGACCAGTCCTTTCCATCGGAAACCGGAACGGACGGACAGGGCGCCTAGCCCGGCCGCCGGCGGGCAGGACGCACAACGAGAGAAATTTTAGAACGGACAGGTGCTCAACACTTAAGCAATTAGTCACAGGTCATTGTGGGTTGGCAGCCGGCTGACAGTTTTGGAGGGTAACGACATTGAAGCTGAAGGACCTTTTGTCGAGCCCCAAAGTGGGTCTGCTTGGAGAGGCTTTGGTCGGATGCGGTTTATCTGAAAAACTCCTTCACATGCTTCTGTCGGGCAGTCGGAAGAAAATACCCGAAAGGAGCCTAGTTTGCAGTCATCCTCAAGTAGACAAAATATGACAATCAACCGATGGGGCCCGGTTCGGCCTTCTATCAGCCTCAAAAGGAGTCCAATTCTATCCAATTCCTCAACGATACTCAATGCAGCGAATGCCAAAAGATCGCGCGTCGCCCAGATTCGCATCTCCATCCAGCTCTTACAGTTGCGTCTCCCCAGCCGAGAGCTAGTAACAAGAAGCTACTAGTAACAAATGGACGCTACTAGGGGCTCCTGGCCGTACTACTAGGAGCAAGGACGCTACTAGGAGCAAAGGGCATCGCTACTAGGGGCTCCTGGCATCGCTACGAACGGAGCAAGGAAGCTACCCGTTCACGGTTCCTCTGGCCTGTTCCTCGACATCGCCGGGCGGCATGCATCTGGAACAAAGCGAAACTCCGGCATCGATTCGCAGATCATGGTGACCTTGGGAATCGCGAGAATCCCAGCATCTGTGGTCTGTGGTGACATGCGAAGGCAGTCAGAAGGCGGCAGGGAAGGGAAGCTCAAGGTAAGATTCCTGAAATATAGACTTTTTGGTACGTTTTAGTTGTTTCTTTTATGACCTGCATGCAGTCAAATGATTTGCTGTATGAGTTCAGAGAGGGGTGTATAATATATGATTGTATGTGTATGTATATATAATGAGTTTGCATCCAATTTGCCGTTTTCTATCGATCTAGGGAATTCAGATCAATTTTTCAGCGGAGCATCCACAATTGCTCGATCTCGAGAAGATGTCATGTCAGAAACATAGAAATTGAAGAAACCAATATATAAAATTCAGAAATTTATAGAAACTATATATATATATATGTGTTCAGAACGGGGACTTCCAAGTCCCATGTGATGCTGTTTCAGATTTCAGGGAAAGTAAAACATCAGCCCTTGAGCAACACTGTCGCTATGGATTGAGGGGAAATGACAAAAGGCGGCACTTGTCATTTTGAGACTTTACATCTCAAACAGGATGATGGCAATCTTGGCTTAAAGCTTGTTGTTGCCCAAGCAGCGCCCAGGATGATAACATTTATGATCGCAAGGACAGCAAAACATCAAGAATGCAATGGACAATAAATGACTGGTGCTTCGTACTTGCAGGGAGCTGTCCCCCATTCCCTCATTCAGGATTGGAACCTATTATGTGCACCGGTCACCAGCAGCATTGAGTCATGGGATTGAATGAGAATTCGTCAGGTCATGTCAAGAAAACGGATCAGTTTTGCAATGACTCCTCCGATGAAATCTTTAGGGAAACCCCGATTGCATTTTGCGATGAGTTTTGTTTTCAGAAAATTTGCTCACCGGAAAATGTTCCAATCATATCTGATCCGATTGAACAGTCCCCGTTACCAACTTTCTGTTGTCTGGCACTTTGCCACCTCCCTTGCCCCAGTCCACCCTGGATGGGCACATTGTGGTAAGCAAAGAAAAACTCTGTAGAGTCAGAGAACCAAACAAAACCTCGACGTCTATAAAATCAAACTCCCCATGTACATACAGAAAACCTCGGAAAGCCTCGCCCTCAGTCTATGCACGCAGAAAATCTAGCGGCTATCAGAATCAAGGTCCCAGGTTCACATCCCAAGGTCCCAGGTTCACATCCACTTTTTACATGAAAGGACAATTGTTTCCTTTCTGAAGCCCCATATTTATATCACACTCTGTATAACACCAAAGCAAATTTCAAATCGGTGTACTCAGTGGGTCCATTCTAATATGTTTATATAGAAAGGCCAGTTGTTGTTGTTGTTGTTTTCATGCAATCTTGTTGATGCCCGGGACCCGGCATTCTCTCGAGGAAATTCGCAAGCGGGGTTCAGGGGCCAATGTCGGCATTTTCCCGTGGAGTGTCTGGGGTGTGGAATGAGCTCCGCGTCACATGTGGGTTGTCGACCCCCGTCATCACCCTGATCACAGGCACTCACTCTGCAAGCAGAACACACCACGTGTTGTTTCAGCACTTCATTCGGGGCGACCACACTTCACGAATGTCAGACTCTCACCATCGACCAAATCTGGGCTCCCCAGGCCGCTGTGAGCAGAATCACAGAGGTCAAAAGATATGAGGCCCACCTGGTGTTTTTCGATGCGCAACCGTGGGCTCCTTTGGAAGCTGAAGGCCAAACTCAGTGGTGAGTGGTGGGATTGGAGGACGAGACCAAGCCCCTAAAGAGGAACACCTCAGCAGTTCAGAAGCTTGGAAAGAATAGACCCACTCACCTAGCTCTGTAAGTGCTCCATGTCTGAAGCCCACAAAGCTGCCCACCACTTCAAGCATCTTCAAGCCCCGTCTCGAGGCCCTTCCCGGCAGGTTTCGAAACCCGACCCGACCCAACCCGACCCGCTGTCCGGACTGCACCTGGCCGCGCAGCTGGAGGAAGGATCGTTCAAGACCTTGAAGATCTTCCTGCGAAAGATGCATCGGAAGAACCATGATGAACCTGGCTGCCTCACGTGAAGGGCCTCTGACCTGACACGGCGGAAACGCGCTTGGAAGGCGAAACCAGTGTCAGAACGAACGGAACGTGCCGTGCGGAAGGCCTTCGGTTCATTGGGCTCTGGGCGATCACTTCTCCCAAATGGGAGCCTCTCGATGCCGGAACCTCCCCACTCAACTGCCATGGTGGAACTTCCTGGAACTGATCCTGCGCGTACTCCTTTTTCCCTGGTCTCCATGGGCGATCAAATCTGGCACGTGAAGGGACCACAAACTCATCAGCATCTGAAGTGGGCAACAGCAATTTCCATGGGGTTGGCCCGAACAAGGGGGGAAAGGCCTCTCTGAGAACTGCTGGAAATGGATTCTGGTTGCCACATCACTGACGTAACGTAAGACTCCAGAAAATCCACATACATCAGGCCGATGTAGACGGGCCAGGATGCTCGATCCCACTAAAAATGGGATCGAAATGTCAACCATTCTGGCCGCAAATTGAATGGAGCAGTGCTGCTGCTGCACTTTCACAAAAAATATTTGGCCATCTTTGGCACACATGCAGCACTTGTGGTACGTTGGGCAGAGAAAAAAGAAGCCCTGGTGGCGTATTCCAGCAGTCTGTGCAGAGTCTGTGCGGGTCTCCAAAGTCTTTGAAGTGCTGACTTTCTTCCTGAATGGCCAATGCCAGGCTGTACACCGCAGTTCCACACCAAGAGCGCCACGGTCGCCCACGGCTTCGCGACCTGACCGGGTGCCGCGCGACTCGAAGTGCCCTGACGTGGTCCAGCCGTCGGACCGCCACTTCACTCGGCATGCTCGGGGCGACACGGTTCATGTCGCCCAAGTTTTGCTCAACAGTGGCAGAATGGGGGGCCGAATCCCATTGGCTTGTCCATTCAGACATATGGTCAGCAAAAATGTCCACATGAATCCACATACGATCCTTTCTCAGCAAGGAGGCCGCGAGGAGATTCAACTGGCTGCGTGCTGCACCTTTGCTGTCAACACTGAGTTCCGCCTATGCAGCTGCAGCTTGATCATATCATTGGGACCCATGCCTGTTCACACACGGTCAGCAGATCAGCAGATGGGAATCACGTTCATTGCTCGGAACCTCAGGACCCTCGGCTTCTATCCGAACCTCCGCACGGCACGAGGGCACTCGTGACACCGGTGAACTGAATCGATCGATCGGTGTGTCCGTGTCCAGAGCCCGGTGCGAGACACCTAGGCTCTTCCCAGCAGCATGAGGCATCCTGGTCTGACCAGACTAGACAAGACGTGGTTCAAGCCCAGCTTGATGTGCCGCACTTCTCCACAGGCGTTCCTGGGCGGGATGGTTGAACTCCTTTTTGAGGTAGAGGAAATCCCTCCAAAAGACCCATCTTCCACACCCGTCCACCCTTTGACAACAAATATCACTGACTACAGTAGTCAGACCCTTCCAAGTGTCCCATGATCTCCCATTTAGCCAGACATGCCCATAGAAAAGAGAACATGCTGATCGTTTGAAGCACGTCATCGGTGAAGAACATGGTGATCAATCGAATGTCCAGTGGATTTTTGTCAGGTGGTCCATAGTGGTCCTGATCTGCACAATCCGAAACAGACTTCTTGGGCGAAGTGGTTTCCAACCAGGTGGTTCTCAAAGAATAGCAGTAGAGCGTCAATCAAACCAGTAACCACCAGCTATGTTGTGCAATTGTATTTTCAGCAGGAGATTTGGGTCAGTTTGGTGCTTTTTGTTGCTGAGCAGCTGCCTGTCAGTCTAGGGTCAGTCTGTCAGTCTCTATTCTCTTTTAGATCTGCTGCTTCGTGGCCATTCTCCCTGCTTCGTGGCAAACTCACGCACTTGAAGATTGCTTCCAGAGCTGGAGAACAGCAAGTCCTGGAGAACTTGAAGATCGCCGTCTCACGAGGGCTGTTTTCAGCCCTGCTTGAAGGTGGTGAATCATGGTGAATCTAGTCGGGGCCGCCACCGGGTCGCCACCAGGTCGCCACCCCATCAGTGGGTCAATGATTTTTAAAGGGTGATTACAAGGGTTGTGACCCTCTTCCTGTAGGCTCACTTTCTTGCTCTAGGCTCAACATTATTCAATCAATGGAGATGTCTGTTCTTCGCATAGCATTGGAAAAAGCCCTTGGAGGAGCCTGAGTGTGCAAATATCTTAGAATTCAATCGGACAAATAGAATGCAGTACTCAGGGTCAGCTTCTTTTTGTTCTCTGATCTTGGCCCATATTCTGTTGAATGATTGGTCCATTCCCTCTTATGATATGATGAATTCATGACTGGCAGAACAGTCCAGCAGGATTGTTTCTTGGATGGTATAGCTGTTCAACAAAGGGTCTCCGCGCAACATTGGCACAATCCGAAATCTCCAGCAAGAAAAGCAAAAATGATCAGATCAACCCGCTTTAAAATCCTCCCCTGATTGGCTACAAATTCGGTATCGGAAGAAATTCGGGCCCACGGAAGATGATCAAACCCTCGAATCTTCCCTTGTGATCAGTTAACTTTATAAATATATTGTTTTTTTTGGCTACTATTATTGTTAGTATTGCCATTATCATTATCCTTTAAGGTCTAAAACTTAATATGTAGTTGTTATATAGTCTTTATATATAGCTCATCAATAAAGCCAGCCTCCCCTTCCTTCCTCCCCCTCGATTCATCCTTCATCCCCTCCTGGCCGCTTTCGCCTTTCGCCCACGCAGCAGAGCTGATCGCTGCACCGTGTGCCCCCCGCCGCGTCGCCGGGTTCTTCGCGGAGGCGACGCGGCGCGAGCCACCGCGGAAGTCGTAGAGGGCCAGCGAGCCATCTGAGAAGCCTCAGCGGGGTCATCTGCGCGGTGACCGCGGTGACCGCGGTGACCGATGACACCGGCCGCAGGGTCCGGTCGTGGTCGGTGGGTCGAGATGGGGAGATGTCACAGCATGTCGAGCGAGGAGCACTTCTAGGTTCTATGGCAGGTTGTTTTGCTGGGTAGTCCATCGAAGGTTCAGTTGAAATGGATCAACCATGTCCCAGAATTTTGACCTATTTCGGGATGATCTGGACACTTGAAGTCTCACGAGATTTGGAGGTATCTCAAAGATTTCACAAGATACCCCCCAAGTCATATCCTTCCAAGTTGGCAAAATCATCAGGGGATCTCCTTCAGAGGTTCATGAAGCCTGTGATGGTGTGCCAGTCGAAGATCTTTCCATGAAGAGTTCCAAGAGCTCTTCCGCCGCAAAGCTAGCATCATTGACCACCTAGACCTAGACTTTCGATAGACTGTTTTGGTGCTTGACATTGATGGCCGCAGGGCGGAGTAATTACAAGTGAAATGGCTGTGTGTCAAAAACAGGTGACCTTGGTTGACTACAGAAAATGAACGGAAAATGGACTACCACATCAGGCTGTCAGGCGACCAGGCCCGGGGTCTAAAGGGCCTAAAGGGCTCCAGGTTTGGACCCACAGCTAAATCACCTTGTTGAAACCTTGGTGAGCTAATTACTCATGAGCCCCCAAGTGACAGCATGTGACAGCATGCAGGTCAGACGAAAACGGGACTCGTAGGATCTCATAGACTCATAGGATTGATGTGAACATGCTGGGGACGTGGTCGAAAAATACCCGTTGGTCACAATCCATTTGAAGGTTTTGGGGTGAAATTACCATACCTCGAAGCAAAAAAAGAGTTGCAGTACGTGACGTAGCTGCCTGGCCGAGTCAACATGGTCATCTTTCTAGCCTCTAGGATTTCGTCTACTGCACAAAGACTGCTTGCTTTCGAGAAGCCACAGGCCCAGTGCAAGCCATCCTGGAACCATCGGCCGCTGGCATCTCGAGTTACTGCGAATTCATAATACCAAACAACTAAGAGAATCTAGCCTGCCACCGGTCAATCCGGGCCACCGGAGCTTGCCACTGGCAGGACTTGGGAGACTTGGAGCTGTTGCAAGGAAAACAAACGTCCCGTTGCAAGGAATTCGCCACCTCCAAAAATATGTTGGACTCATGGATGTCCATCCATTTACCGGTAAGTAAAAGAAGCAACATGGCAAGAAAAATGTCCCGATACGTGAATTGCTTTCTGTGTGTACCAGTCAGTGGTGGCCATGATTGATGGGCATGGCCATATAGGAGAGGCGGAGAGGGATGGATTCCACCAAGATCGCAGCTAATTTTTTGTAACTGATAGTGTTTGAACTGAACCCACTGTTTTGTGCTTCGAATCCCAACCACTACCCAACCATCCGCCCTCATCCCTCATTCGAATCTCCTGTGAGGCGGCCAGGGCAGTGGCCATTGGTGACCGGGAGTGATCCAAGACCAAGGCTGGATAGGCAGAGGAAAGATCCCAAAAGACCAGACCTTGAGAGCAGGCGTTGGTTGAGTCGCTTGGTCGAGGCGTGTTTCTTTTCGTGGCTGGGATGAACGGAGAGATGAGATCGATCCTGATGGAATCTGTTTGAACACTTTGCATTGTCCGTTCTCAGATGTTCTCAGGTTCCCAATCTGCGCTTGAAGAAATTCCCAAACATACCGAACCACCTCAGATGGTATGTGAAGCCCAGAGGAAGGATAGTCAGTATAGTGGTCCCAACATAGCTTTAAAAAGTAGATCCCCACTAAAAATGTATTGGAAACCGTGCCACTATCTCTATATATGCGTCATGTGCACAGACCTCTCCGCATTTGGCAGGGAATTCGGACATAGACCAAGACCGGTGCCACGACTTGCGGACGTCCGAACGAGCGATTCCCGAAACGGACGCCCTTGACCGGTGTTGTACGGTGGGTACTGGGGGGGTTGAAAGTGTGGTACTTTCTGACACTTGTTCCTAGTAGCTTCTTGTTACTACTAGCGTGGCACCTGTTACTACTAGCGTGGCACTTGTTACTAGTAGCTTCTTGTTACTACTAGCAAGGCACTTGTTACTAGTAGCG